GGGTCACTAGGTGAGGGGTATGATTGGGGAGGACCACTTGTCTTTAACTCGGCTACGCTGTGATGAAAATGGATTTCACTGACGTGTCAATTTTGTGGTGTGCTGTCGAATGTACCAAGCGAAAATTGTTGGACATTGGAACTTTTCTGAAGCTTGTATTCAAGGTTCTAGTAATCACAAGACTAATAATATTGTTGATCATGCCACCAGTGAGCAGCATAAAGCTGTGATGATGTACCATCATAGAGAACAAGACACTTCTGACGAGGAATCAGAACCAGAACTTTCTCAAGTAGCATAACTGGCTTACTGATTAATTGTAATTGTTGTACTTTTAATATCTCAGTCTTTTTATAAAAAGCATTGCTTTAGAAGATGTAAATGATACTATACATATCATAATTGTTGCACTAAAAAAGTGTCCTGTCGTTGCTTATTGCTGTCAGACCAAAACCAAATATGACTTGAAAAGTGGCAAATTAATACTAACCTTTGTTTTCATCCCTGAAAAGGATAACACTGTAGGAGAAGTGGCCATCATCGAGCAATAATGACTATTATGAACTGTGTGAAAGCATTTGGGGTGGTAGTCCAGGTACAGAGCAGATAGAGGGAGGTTTAGAAACTGTGGAATTATTGACTAACAGTGATTCTGGGGGAAGCATGTCATGTATTGTATTATCTGATGCAGAAGCCATACCGCCAGAAAAATATTGAAGACAAGGAAGGCAATGAAGAAAATTTTTACACAACAAAGCAGAGATGTGAATTATTTCACAACAAATTTAAAAACTACAAACAAGATAGGCTAAAAATAAAGCTGCCTGTTGATGCAAAACTATTGATGTGTACAGGAAGAGCTTCAAGTCAAGAAACAATTGCTAAATCATATGCACCAAATCAAGCAAAGATATTCTGAAAACATAGCTGATGGGTTTTCTTTAATGAGACAAATTATGATGCACCAGCAGCCACTTGCTATATACCATGGCCAACCTATGCATAATCCCTTTGTCTCAACTTCTCCATTTAAGGACCGATGATTAGCTCCTGGTCATGCTTCAAGCCCAAGTGCTCATCATCTAGTAGTATACTTGACTAACAGCTGAATAAACTTGAGCATTGTCATTATGATCATGCTTTCATTGTATTATTCAACAATTTGTTGTTAAAAATTGTCAAAATTTTAATTATTAATAAAAGCAGGGAGGACAGAGGAAGGGGATGAGGAGAGTGAGGTGCTATCACACTAAAAATGGTCAAAAATTTAACTGTCAAAGTACTGAGTTAGTATTCTTCTGATTCCCTTTCCGTCTGCTGTATTACTCCCAAAAGTGTGCATATGAGCTTGACTTGGTAGTTGAAATTCATAATCATAATAGAAATTCAAACTGCTTCCTCATTAGTGGCTCTTTGTGTATTTCACAAAGAGGCATAAATGACATACTCTAAGTCCATTATATTGATAACCATAGCCATCCTCAAGCAACTGAAGTGTACCTTTGATCAGCCAAAAGAGCATTCAATAACATTTCTACAACTATACACGAACAATACCCTAAATATTGCTCTTGTCTGTTTGTTCCAACTCCATTTCATAACATATGGCATTAATGAGTATGCCAGGTCACCCAATATAAATACTGGAAAATCTTCATCACATATCTGTCTGTGGCAAGGTGGTATTGTCCCATACATAAGAAATTGGTTGACCTTTGAATTTGCAAATATTCTTGCGTCAAGAAAACTTCCACAACATTTTATGACCACATCAATAAATAATACATTTTTGCACCACATAATGCCTGAACATTGAAAGAGAATCAAGATTTTCTGTTAATGTAATCTGCATAATTTTGTGAAGAAATTTTCATTTCTATATGTGCACTACCTATGGCACACAAACATTGTGGAATTCCATAAGTATCATAGAACTACTTTACCTTTTCTTCTACACTTTCCTCAGTCAGTGGAAGCTTGATAAAATGTGGTCCCAAATAGGTTGTAATTTCATTTGATACTTAGGTTGTAATTTCATTTGATACTTTACAAATGATCATAAATTTGGAAATACCAAAAGAGTTACTCAAACGACCTTCATCAGCAAGATAATACAAAGTTACAGCAACTTGTTTCTCTACTGAAATTGCACAACAAATATGAGTATCACTTCACTCAATGTACAGTGGTCTCAGAATCTCAGCTAATTTAATAAAATTTTTTCGTGAAATTAGAAAATTTTCTTTCCAATCTTCTTCTAGTACCTGACCTGTTACAAAGTTCTCCCATCATAGTGAAGTCCTCCCTGGCTTTATCCAAAATCTCCTCTTTCTAATCCTTTACGTTCCTTACAGGTTGTTTCACAAAATTGACTGGGATAAAGTTGCTTTTGGTGACAATAATGATGGCACTTATCAATTATTAAATAGTTTAGCAGCTGTAGTGCTGCTAAAGATGTTAAAGCAACAAAAACAGCAAGTAGCAAGCTTCATTTTGCATCTCCTTGAGAGTAAAACCTAGCTGTGAAGCAGTGATACTGACCATTGGCCTAGCACTAGCGCACTATAGATTAAAATAGAGACTATAATATTTTTTGCTCACTCAAATCAAAAGATAATATTAAGCAAACACCAGGCTGTATTCTAAAATTGAGTCTGGCCACACACAGTAATGGTGGCACATGGGCTCAGTGGTGAAGAAAGCTTTAGTTTTTTTAACTTTTAAAAAGTTCAGCATACATTTGATAGGCTCTAATCATTGCATACAAACTTCTATTGAGTCCCCGACGTTTAAAGACTCTGGACTACTTCTAGAGAAGAGAGCCTCATGTAAACTCACAAGGTATTAACATTTGGGCTATCATATCTTAAAGAGGAAGGTGATTAGAGCAATTTCTTACATATTAATGAAAGACTATGTTTTGTCCTATTGCTTCATCCAACTGCTCTTTAGCTTTGATGTATATTTATTATTTGTGCCAACTACATTTGGCTACATTGTGAGTTTTTTCTGCCTCAGAAAAGAAGAATTAATCATTATCCAGACAAAAAAAAAGTTTTTTTTTAATCCTATGTTGATTATAAGACTCTTCAGGATTTCACAAGAAAGCAGTGTTAGGTAAAAGGTAGAGTTCAAGCACAGACAGGACAACCGCTTAAGCTGCACCACCACCCACGCAAATTTTTAATCTGTTGCTAAGGAAGCTGTTTTTCCCAAAGTACTTTACCAATCATAAAGAAACCAGTAATAGTTAAAAGACAGTAACTAAATTATTTAGTAAACTAACTAAATTATTTAGTAAACTAACTTGGAGCCTTTAACTCATAATAGCTATGGCATTAAAAGCTAAAATACTTAAGAATTTTCAAAAGCAAAAAACTCCTCTTACTTTTAATTTGGATAACCAGATTTCTAGGTGAAGGCAGTTTTTAACTAAACAAATTGATTAACATAGAGATACATGTACATGTACATATTGCTCAACACCACATTTTCCTATATTAGCCCTGTTTAATTGAAATATCTCTATGTTACTGTATGTGTAATCATGTAAAGAGGCTCTATTGTAAATTTGGTCTGATTCTGATCACCACAGGCAAAGTTTTTCGAAAGTTTGCATTTTTCTGGCATAAACACAAATTTTAACATCTAAACTTCATTTTACAGCTTTATATATTTTCAGTCCCTTTCTTAAAGGTTTAATTTTTATTGAATTAAAACCCATTTTTAGAGGAGCATAAAGAACCTAATAAGATTCTTATATGGTACACTTGTATGGCTTAAGCATTCCTGCATAAAAATAATAATTGTTGTTACAGGCAGCACCGTCAACCCTCACTTTACACCAAAGCATGACTCAAGTAACAAAAACTATGTGCCACAGAAAATGCACAAATATGTACGGAGCTTACCTTCTTGTTCACAATTATATCCATAGTCATGCCATTTGTAGACAAAAGTCTGTCAACAGCAGAAAGACTAATCCATAAGTTATTTGTATTGAAAACTCTAAACTTAGAAATAGACTTAAATTCATCAACCTATAAATGGTAACATTAATTTAATAACATGGTCCATCATCTACTTGCTTTATCTTTAGGAACTTGTGCAATTTCTAAGAGTTGAACCTTATCTTCATACTGTATCAGAGTTCCACCTTTAACATCTGAACGGGTCTTGTCTGTAACTTCCATTACAAACTCACACCTGTTGCTCACAAAATGACTGAGTATAGCTACAAAAACAACCATATTAATGTAACAATTTTCAACACATATTAAGGGGAGAGCCCAAAAAGCAAAGCAATAATAAGACATTGTTGGTAAACTGGCATCACCAAAACAACTACAACTATAATTGTTCATTTTACATTTATAATTTCAAAATCTGTCATGAACTATTACCACATTGTTCATTAATAAAATGCAAACTATATATAGTGGGTTTCAGTTGAGTTTGACAGGTGAAACATCATTATAACTTTTTTGTTATTAATGCTAGCAACTTGAAACTTGGTATGGTTGCATAACAGGTTCTTCTGCATATCTGGATTGATTTTGGAGTCCCTGGGTACTCTGGAAGGTTCTCAACAGGTTCTTCCGGTCTTCATCAAAGAAGCCACCATGATGTTGCATTGCATGTTTATGCTCATGAATATAATTTGCATCTCATTACATTCGTTAACAATCATGTTTTATTTGTTTAAAAATAATGTAAAGCAAAAGGAACACCTCAGACTAAGGGATTATTCACCAGAAGGTCTTGCATTCCAGAAAGAAGCCTCAGCTTGTCTGCTTTACCTCTCCAATCCTTCATAACTACTGTCACTTTTTACCGCTCTGAAAATCCTTTGTAATCTTGCATTTCTTGCCTCTTTTTTGAAGTGATAACAAGGACAAAGATCCAGCAGGTAATATGTAGACAAAATAGTGCCCAAAACAAGAGACTCAAGGAGTTAGAGGAAGAAAAAGAGAGCACATTGTAGTTTCAGCCATTTTATTTGCATGTGTGGGCGGGCCTACACGTGACATTTTGATGATGAAAACTTCCTGTCAAACTCAACTGAAACCGACTATACACTATTTAAATCATTTATTTATTGCTTTAGACTTGCTTCTATTTATGGCATTCTTCATTCAAAAATTAGGTCAGGGATATAGCCATATTAACTGAAAGTATCAAATCTTAAGTGCGAGAGTAACATGTCTGATGGAATAACTACTGATAGAAGGTCATACTTACATAAATCAACTGTTGCTCCCAAATTGTCAATGTTAGACACAAACATCAATTCCTTTCCTTCCTTCACAAACTGATCTAAGAGTCCACTTCTCTTCAATGAAATATATATATCACCATGACCAGGAGGATACCACCTGGCAAAAAAACACATTTGCATAAAGTGCATGCATTAATTATTTTCATTACCTACAATTTTTGAAATGCACATGCACATTTACAATTTTACATCATGTATAAAGTCCAAAATTCCTCAAAAAGCAAATAGCATTTTAAAGGTATGTGTACATGCACATGTACATGTAAAAGGACAAATCAAAATCATAAACACTATACATGTGATTTCAAAACTAACTCTCCATCCTTATAGTCAGGTTTTTCTGGTATAGGTCTCAAAGTCTCCTGATTGATACGTGGATAATAGCTTTGATCAAACACATAAAGGTTGACTCTTCTCTCATATTTGTGCTTTATACGAGCAGTCTCAGAATTTGTGTTATAGGAGTTCATTAGAACTAATGGAACATCAGTACCGTACTTCTGATTTAATTGCTAAATGAAAAAACTGACAAGTAATTCTACTATTACAGTTAATATACAAGCATATTTGCTTAATTAAACTAACACCAACATGTACCTCGATTTGCTGCACAGTAAGATCCAAAAAGGTTGCATCATTGCGGACCTGTATGAGACTTTTAGGACCCACACAGCCCATACTTGTACCTAATCCGCCATTGAGTTTAATCACTATGAGCTTGCTCAAAAGAAATTTGAATTGATCAGTTGCAACACTTGGAAGAGAACAGTAGTCTTCCACCTACAGTACAAATCAGGAATGGGTCAAACACTAAGCACAAATTAATAAGGACCATTATACATTTAACTCATAATTGGTGCATGTACAGTAGTGAAGCAAACATTTAAATACCTTAAGGAGACAGTTATAAGCGAGTACTAAATATTAGTGATTTTCATAATACTGACATTTGGTTGGTATTTAATTCAGCATTTGGAATATAAAAAATGGCAACCGGAATGGATGGAAGATGTTGCTCCTGTAATAACCCCCGTTCTACTTGCCAAAGGTGTTCTTGTGTTAAAGAGCAGAAACCATGTTTCTCCTGTAAACCCGGGTCAGAGAGTCGTTGTAGGAACCCCTACAATGTTGTGACAATCCCGCTTGAAGAAGCTTCTTCCTTGTCGGGTCCTTCTAATGATACTGCTCCCCTTCAAGAGCCTCCCTCTGATTCCTCTCTTCTCTCCTAATATCCTCTTAATACTGAAGGAGTTGAGGATGATAATGGCAGTCACTATCTTGATAATTTGGAAATTGAATCCATCTTATCCTACGCTTATCAGTCTTCTTTACATGACCACTCTGATCCTGCCTGCCACCCTGAGTGGTACGCTCGCTGGAAGACCATCACCAAACTCTCTCCTTCTCATTATTTTTCCAAAGGGTCAATGTGGTTGTAGATACATCGGAATCCTTTGTGACAAAATTGATTCCATTCTGAAATGGTCCTCCAATTCTGAACAGGTTCTTGTGTTCAGTTCAGTCATCCTACAGAGAGACAAACAAGTGACAAAGAGAAGAGATGTCATCAGGTCTTTGAATCGTAGGATCCCAGGAAAAAAATCTTACTAAGATCTTGAATAATCTGATCAGATGAGATAAGGTGAGATAAGGTGAGATAAGAGTTAAGAACAACCTTATAAGATCTTATTTGGATTTAGTCTGATCGATCTTAGCTATCATATACAGGCATAGTCTTACTTAAGATCTTACAAGAATTATCTTACAATATCACTGATAAGATTTAAAGGCTGGATCTTACTTAAGATCTTACATGAATTATCTTACAATATCACTGATAAGATTTATTGGCCGGATCTTACTTAAGATCTTACAAGAATTATCTTACAATATCACTGATAAAATTTACAGGTCAGATCTTACGTAAGATCTTACAAGAATTATCTTATAATATCACTGATAAGATTTATAGGCTGAATCTTACTTAAGATCTTACATCAATTATCTTACAATATCACTGATAAGATTTATAGGCCGGATCTTACTTAAGATCTTACATGAATTATCTTACAATATCACTGATAAGATTTATAGGCTGGATCTTACTTAAGATCTTACATGAATTATCTTACAATATCACTGATAAGATTTTTAGGCTGAATCTTACTTAAGATCTTACATAAATTTTCTTACAATTTTACTGATAAGATTTACAGGTCGGATCTTATTTAAGATCTTACATGAATTATCTTACCATATCACATCATAATAAGTAAGTCATGCAAGATCTTGAAAGATCTTACAAGTCGCATGACGTCACAGGAAGTAGTTGACAACCCACGATAGCCTTTACAAAAGTATGAGCATATAAAGAAAGCCAACTTCTAACAACATTAAAGTTAATTAAGTCACCATTATCACACAACATTATAGTATGCATTAATGCATTGTAAGATCTTGATCAGATCAGTCATTTTAATTATAAGGGATATGACAAAATCCCATTTAATAAATCATAACTAAACTCTTTAAGATCTTGAAAGATCATACAAGATTTATACCTGATCTTAACTGATAATATAAGATTTAGTTCCTGATCTTGAAAGACTATGCAAGATTGAGTTCTTAATCTTGACTGATAAGTCAAGATAATGTAAGATTTATTGCCTGATCTTGAAAGATCATACCAGATTTATACCTGATCTTGACTGATAATGTAAGATTTATTGCCTGATCTTGAAAGATCATACAAGATTTATACCTGATCTTAACTGATAATATAAGATTTAGTTCCTGATCTTGAAAGACTATGCAAGATTGAGTTCTTAATCTTGACTGATAAGTCAAGATAATGTAAGATTTATTGCCTGATCTTGAAAGATCATGCAAGATTTAGTTCCTGATCTTGACTGATAATGTAAGATTTAGTTCCTGATCTTGAAAGACTATGCAAGATTTACTTCTTAATCTTGACTGATAAGTCAAGATAATGTAAGATTTATTGCCTGATCTTGAAAGATCATACAAGATTTATACCTGATCTTGACTGATAATGTAAGATTTATTGCCTGATCTTGAAAGATCATACAAGATTTAGTTCCTGATCTTGACTGATAATGTAAGATTTAGTTCCTGATCTTGATTGATAGCATAAGATTAATCGTCTGATCATGTCTGATCATGTAAGATTTATCATAAGATCTTGACAAGATTTATCATAAGATCTTGGCAAGAATTTGGAACTTCTTGTCTAATAATCTGGCAAGAACAGGCATGATTAATCATGCATGATCATTTTAAGGTTTCATAAGATCTTAAGTAAGATCTTACGTAAGATTTTTTTCCTGGGAAGATAATTTATCATCTTTTTCTACAGGTCTTATTAAAGCTTCAGATCTTGAAGACAGGGATACAAGTTCAGCACCTGAAATATTTCAAAATAATTCAGAAATTATTATGATTGATAGTTTAATATTTTTTGGATATAGACCAATATTAATCATTAGTGTTTTAAAATTATGACACATAAAATTAATACTCCATTATATACAATCTACCTCCTCTAGTTATCCTCTTTGGAGTAGTGAATGTCACTGTTTCCTCATCTCGAGATGGTGCTGAAACTAATGGAATGCACTGTAATTGATAAGCTTAAATCATTTAGCTAGCTACCTGGTATTGATGGTGATGGCGTTACTTCATCTGCTAGAGATTGTGATGGAACTAAAGGAATGTATCGTAATTGATAGTGAATATAAATTTACAGCATATACATATATAGCTACATGTACCTAGTATATTTGGTGATGGTAAAGATGTTTCTTCCTCTTCATCTGCCAAAGATTGTGACGGAACTAATGGAATATATTGTAATTGACAGTAAAACAAAGTTTACAGCATATATAGCTACATGTACCTAGTATAGATGGTGAAGGTGAAGGTGTTTCTTCTTCATCTATTGAAGATTGGGACAGAAAAAAAGGAATATAATTGTAATTGACAGCAAAATAAAGTTTACAGTATATTTAGCTTCATGTACCTAGTATATTTGGTGTTGGTAAAGTTGTTTCTTCTTCTTCATCTGCCAAAGATCGTGACGGAACTAATGGAATATGTTGTAATTGACAGTACATTTTAAAGTCTACAGCATATATACATGTATACTATATCCCAGTTGAGTTTGGGACAAGAAAAACTGGAATAACTTTTTATAGGAATGTGGGATAAGGATGAAACTTTCACAGGTTCTTAGTCGCCAAAGTCCATCAAAATCTGTGAAATCTTGGGTCTCTCAGCCCTTGGGAACCCTGAGAACCGGGTTCTCCCTATAAACCCAATGGCATACCAAAATGACGTTTTATGACAATTTATCTACGTCATAGTTTACATAAGAACATGTGGTCGAGCGTGCAAACTGATAATTCTTCTTTTAAAAAGCTAACAGAGCCAGATCTTCTGATAATAATGGCCATTATGAAGACTAGTAGGCTCCAGCAGCTATTGTACTGCTTATCAGCAGCAGTAAGACTGTTTTAAGAGTAAAACAAGACAGCCGCCATGCTTCTATGAATATAATTAAAATACGTCATTTTTGTGACGTAGCTATATTTCGCAGCTGCTTCCACTTCCGTCCCAAACTGAACTGGGATATAGTATAGCTACATGTACATGTGAACCTAGTATAGTTGGTGTTGGTAAAGTTGGTTCTTCTTGAACTGGAGATGGCAGTGGAACTAATGAAATGTATTGTAATTTGCAATTACGTGCATTAAGATTGCTACCTGGTATTGATGGTGTGTCCTCATCTGGTGATTGTGAAGGTACTAAAGAAATTATTGTGCAATTGAAAATGTTTAAGTTTACAGCATGTAGATCTAGTTACCTGGTATACATGTAGATCCATTGCTTGGGATAAGAGTTGAACCAGGAGACTGATTTTTGGAAAAGGCTAAAAAATTTATTGACATTGCATTAATTTAATATGTCAGTAACCCTACGTAAAGCTAATAAGAGCCATTTACTTTTATGTGGACAAATAATATTTGTGGTCAACTATTGGTTTTCCTGTGATGTATACAATAAATTTTGGTTTTTTAGAGTGCTAATCATATTTCAGAACAAAGGAACTGATAGAATCTAATTACACAGGCGAGAAAAACATTTTATAAAAAATTTGGGTGTGAGTCCTATTATTCTAAATTTTGTAATAAATAGAGTCATGTCATAATTCCACCTACCATTGTCCAGTAATTGAATTAGATCCGAATTCAACTTGCTTCTAGCAACAAAAAGAACTGACCTCCTATTTACACCATTTGCCTTCGATACTATGGAATCCTTTGAAGTGGTCGATAAGAACAGCCCAGATGAATTGATACTGCCTCCAATGTCTCTCACTGTGTCTTTCACTTTACGTTCCATCTCGCAACTAAGTTCACAATGTTCCCTCACCATAGGCATGTACAGAGCTATAGATGGCTCGCCTCTGTGCCTGACAGATGGTCGTATCATTTGCAGAATCTAATAATATACAAATGAATGTGCAAAGATAAAAAAGAGTAGATAATTATACATGCATATAATATCGATCTATGTATAATTTAGATATCCAAATTGGTCTACATTATGTTTAACTACTGTATATTAAATATAACAAATCAATATTAGATGACTCAAATCTCTTATCAATTGAATGCTAACCTCATACACTTCCATCGCATTCATAACATGTATCAACTGTCTGAAAAAATCCGATAACACATCACTGCCATGTAACTGAATTTGACAGATGACGCGTGCCCATTCATTACTAAAGAAATCCATGATATCCTGGTAAGTTATCACACTGGCTGGAAGATGCTCGCAAAGCTAAAAGATTAAAATATGGAATGTAACAACCTTGTATGTCAATACTGCAACCTACAAGTTGAGATACTAGGAGAAGGAGTGCATAACTTTTTTGTACCCTAAAGTGCACATGAGGAATTTTGCCTATTACAAAAGGTAAAGTGATGTTGCTCAGATGCTGCTGCATGTCTGGTGAGGCAATCCTGTGTCCAATTGCTATCAATATTCCGATGGCTGAAGATGCATTTTTCCTTGCTTCCTTCAGACGAATCTCATTCTCTCTCAGCTCTGTACTTTCAGGAGATCGCACAGGAGAAAAGAAAGGAATATGCAGTATCCTTTGAGAGTTTCTACAATGTTAAAAGGATCATTGTAATGTGATTGTGTGGTAGCTCAATGATTTTAAATGGATATAAATGAGATCTAGTCAGGGTTGGGATCAATAATACAGACAAAAATATTGTTACTATAATTACTAATGCACGAAAAAATATAGCCTGCAGTTGTTACAATTACAGTGAAATGTATTATCACTATTACTATACAGTTATACAATGACATGATTCGGTTCTAATTGAAACAATTTAAATGTTTTTAATGGCCACATTCACAAAAACGAAATAAATCTTATAAAGAAAGTCTGCCAAAAAAGCCTATGAAAATGTCTTTACCTTTTACATGTACTGAATGTACAATTTGAAGATATAATGACCAATGTTAGTGGTCGTTGCTCGCCACCGGCACATGTGTTGTGAGCAAACCCGTTAAAGAATTGAACAGCAATACTTTCTGCTTTCTTTGCACTTCTAACATCATCAATGGCAATAGGAATTGTAGTTCCAGAAGCCCATCGAACAATCACAGCTGGATGTGTGTCTGGCCCTGTAATATGTACTCTGTCTGCCCCAAGTAAACTTAGAGCATTTCTGAGAGACGTAGACTTTCCTGGAATGTATAAAATCACATATATAATCACAATTTCTATTATTTTTTATCTTTTAATACACCTGTACTTAAATGCAAGCAATGTAGCTAGTAAAACTGACTAATATTCTTCAATCAATTGTAATACTTCTACTTACCAATGTTATAAATTGTGCATTATTATTTTGAATATTGTAGAATTATTATTATGATGATTACTGTTAATATTACTATTGTTATTGTTGTTATTGTTATTATTATTACTATTATTATTATTACTGATTATTATTATTATTACTGATTATTATTATTATTATTCTTTTTCTGCTTTTGTTAATCTTATTCATACATGCATGATGTTCTTCCTATAGGTTACTTAACTAATGACGTCATGATTCCTTTTCTATATATGCATGCTTTTATTCATTTTACAGTTGTTGTAGTTGTCGTTGTGCTGTTGTGTAGTTCGTTCTTTTCTAAGAGATTTTTAATCCTTAAAGTTATTCTTCTCCCACGACATTTCCTTCACCACTTCGGTCACAACAACCAAAATTCATTTTATCCTTCTGCATGCAATCAACCAATGGAATCATTTACCCTTCTCTCTGATACTCACTCTTTCCCTCCCGTATCTTAAATTTAAAATAGATAACCACATATGCTATTGCTTATTATCAAAAAAAATTAATGCAGCTAGATCTACCTGCTCCAGGAGTTGAGCTATGACAGAGAACCAATGGACATTCATCCTGAAACTCAAGAATGGAGTCATAATGTAAAATTAAGGTAGCTCCTGCAACAGTCAAAAAAGAACTGATATAGTTGTTGGCCAAACACCGCTTTGTAGCAGACAGCAGTTCCACCATTGGTTGAACAGAAAGCGGAGTCACGATTTCCATTGAAATCACTCTGGGCTTGGTCAGGAGCACATTCATGTAATCATCAAACCTGTACCGGAATGAATATAAAATGAACTTTGTTAGTAAAACAGTCTTTTACCAAAAATATTCCTGTCTTTCATGTTCAATGAACTGTCCCTTTGAATCAATTTGCACCGTAGGTGACAAAACCCACACATCAGAATGAGGCTGCCTTCCCACTCTGGAAACAAGAATCTTTTGTCTGTAGAAGGTACTCTTTTGATAATCTTTAGCCATACTGAGAATGTAAAGACTCCATAATCGCTCAGATATTGAGGCCCATTGAAGAACCTCGTGCGACTTTGAAGCGACTCTGGCAAAGCTCCGTATCGTTTGCGTGTCCTCGTTACTAACAAAACAAGATCTAAAAAAGATGTAAAATAAAACACTAGTGCAACAAATATAATAGTACATACTTATGCACCCCAGAGGAAGTTTTTATGTTATAGACGTATTCAAATAGGCTAACCGACGCACCATGTGGTGATCGAACAGCGTGTTCAATCTCCATCGAAAAATTGGTATGGCTTGTGAAGCTACCATTATTCATAATCCCTATCTCGCCACCTTTAACTACTAAACTTCTTGAAGGTGCTTTCTTCCTATTGGCAGCAGTCTGCAGAGAACTAGTAGGAGCAGCAGCCATTGCTTGTAGGTATGCTGTAGAAGTGTAGCCTCGCGTAACACTGCGTGAGTTGACATGCATTAACTGCGCATGCGTATTCTATGGTAACGCATGTGTGTGGTTCCATTTGCGCATGCGCACGACGCTATGAGACAGTGTTGGTAGCTTTCAATTTTATTGCAGCAGCTATGGCTAAACGTGGAAGGAAACGCAAGATTGCTGCTCTAATGGATGAAATGATAATGGCCAAGACGTCCGATGAGGCTGATTTATGCGAGAAGGAAACAGAAAATCAATCCTTATGTGAAGGTTAAAACTTGTAGTTTACTGTAGCACACTAAGCACAGCAAAGATAATTTTGTTTAATATGCTAACCCTAGCATTAGAAGTCATAAATTTATCAAAGTGAAATTATGGGATAGACCAGCTCGTGTTAAGTACTGTAATTAGTTTTAAGCGATTATAAATTTCCTAATGGCAATTGAGCCTGTTCTATGGTGCTGTATTTTGAGGATTTTTTTTGTTGTAGTCAGATACTGAAGGTGTAACAGTACTTTTTATTAGATATTAACAACTGCACTGCACCCGCCAAACTGGACAGTGTAGTTCATGTTGAAAAGGATGAGCTTTCATTCATGACTATGGTAGCTATCAGTCAAGCTATGAATTTGATTCCAGTTTCATTCAAGAAGTATCGAAATATTTACATTTCGAACATACTGTATCAGATGACTGGAACAAGAATTAATTCAGATGTTCTAACAAGCACAATGGAAATACTGCAAAACAACCATGGACAGAAATTGCTTGGTTTGAGTACTCCTCCAATGGAGGTATTGTGGCAAACAACCTTTTCTTTGCAATTGCCACACACAGAATATCTGGGGCCTCCTGTGATCAGGTACTCTATCAAATGCTTGATGTACGGTTTTAAGCTGTATTGCACAGGTGTTTAGGATGTGATAACATGTTAGAAGTCCATAATGCACCAACTACAGTCATTTGTCATACATTACATGGTCCTGTCCTTGCATTAAAAATTACACTGCGTTGCAGTAGGTGTCTCCTGAATTACAGGTATTTACAGTTAAATAATTCTGCATATCAAAATTTTTTATAGATATGAACAGTATGGGTCTGAAAGAAATGGATATCGTTATTATGAACAGCCAAGGGACTATGTAAAGGCATCTAGAACTACCTACATTATGCGGTCTTTACAAGAACTATTCATTGCAGCAGGGTAAGTTTTACATCGTTTAGCTATACCTGCTTATACATTACTTTTACTTTTTTTTGTTAACCTTAGTCATCACACTTGGTGCTCCTTTGAAGGAGCTGCAGAGGTCTACAATGAAATGGTGAGACTAAGTTTTTCAGAAAATGCTACCAACACTGCCAAGTTCCTATCACTTTGCCCATTGAGAGTGACTGGTAAGACACAAAATGCTTAATAATAATGAATTGTACATACATGTACATGTATAACACATATCACAGAAACTTTGGAGAAGAACAACGGAGAAGACATAGATTGTTTGCCATATGAACTGAACAGGAAGTTAGTTGCTGAAGCATTCTGGAATGCTGAATCTGAGATGGAGTTACGTGAGACAAAGAACATTGGCCATAGTTTTTTTTCTGTAAGTGCAAGAGAGGATCTAATGAAGGAAATTGACCGTAAAAGAGCTAATACTACCTATCCACACAATGATTGTTCAGATAAATGCAAAAAGAGAGGTTAGTGGAATATTAAATTTATTGAAATAATATGAAAATGATCAAAATTACTTTCATGTTGCACTATAATAATTATACATGTACATGTAGGATGCGGCACTTTATGGTCATGTGATGGTAACTGGAAGCTAACGTATCCCATATGCATGTTTGATACTCCCAAAGAGTTGAGTGGATTTTCTGGACAGCTTAATTATGTTTCCGCATGTCCAAATCAACCAGAAAATGGAGAAGCATTCTGTGAAGAACATAAGGAAAAAGCTAAAAGCCTGGGAATTCCCACAATTTTAGGAGATTATGTTAAATACAAAAAGCAAAATTCTAGAGGTTTGTTTTTATGAAGGACTGTATTGTTCAAATTTATGCCAAATTATTATACATGTATAGACATTGGTTTGGCTGGTAAAAAGGCAGACAAACAAGTTGACCTACATGCTGCATCAGACTGCCAAGGTAATTGTAATTACATGTATCAATTATGTAAAACTAATTGTATGATGTATTTCAGGTACAACAGGCATTATTGACAAGTTTCCCAATATGTCGGCAGACTTGGATGATGAAGACAGTAGCAGCAAACCTTCCTGCAACAAAGAAACTGGAGAGAAGAAACGCATTCAAAGATGGACTAGGGGTCACTTTTTTGTTGTTCGTGGAGGGGGACATATTGACACATGGCAACCTTTATACCAGTAAGGCTCAAGATACACAAGCACCTAAAACTTGTTAATTTTGTTGTCTTTTTAATTCTTAATTACGTACTATATAATTGTCATAGATCTGAAGGTCCTGCACAGGTTTTTTTGATATTACTTGTTTGGATGATCTCAGCTATGCAAGAAATGAGTAGAAAGGACAGACAAGAGATATATCTTGCATTAGTCTCGTGCCCCGCCCCTTCGCTTTTGGAGGAAGGGTCTGGGGACATTCAAGGCTTTTTTGTTGCATAGC